TCTCTCTCTCTCTCTCTCTCTCTCTCTCTCTCTCTCTCTCTCTCTCTCTCTCTCTTTCTTCCATTTGTCTTTCTCTTTTTTGAAGCCAGCTCAGCCCAGGCAGGTTTGGAGCAACATGTGGTGCTAGGGATTGAACTATGGTCCCTGAACTTTGCCTGAGCTTACTTAAACAGAAGCTTTAGAACACTGATCTGTCTCACCCTCCCCAATTTAGAAGTTTGTTCTAAGGAGTAAGGGAAATTAGTGACACTAAGTAATAGGAACTGTGTTGACCAACAAACAAAAGGTTAAGTAATAAAAAGTGGAAATTAAAGTAGAGAAACAATTGGAAAATTAGAAAATTTACAATTAGACATATAAAAAAGTGAACAAGTTGAAAGAGAGCAAGTGAGAAGAGAAAGGGGCGTGAGCATAAAAAGAGGGCCTATTTAAAAATAAGCTACCTAAAAATGGGGGCCAAGCTAATAGGTGGTAGAAACACAAAAATAATGAAAAGATAGAATAGTAATAATAGAGGGAAGGAAGGAAAGAAGGAGGGGGGAGAGAGGGAGAGAGGGAAACAGAGACAGAGACAGAGACAGAGACAGAGACAAAGACCATGTATTTCCATAAGAGTGTTTTCTTTCCAGTGCAATAGTTTAATCTTTTAAGTCACATGTTGTTTGGCCAAGTCAAATAGCTCAGAGGATTGAAGCACCTTCTTAGGCAGATGCAGAGGCTGGGGGTTAGATCCCCAGTGCGCTGTGCTGCACAACCCCCCCCGGGGGGGGGGTACACACTGAGATGGCACTTCAGACTTGACATAGTGGTACATACCTATAATCGTAGTGCTTGGGAAGCTGAAAGCAGAAGGATCACTACAAGTCCCATCTGTGTAATGAGGCCCAGTAGACCCCATACTAAATATATTTTTCAAAAAATTCACATGTTCACATGTTCATCCTTGTCTTTCTTCATAGTCTGTGAGTTTGTGTGAAGTTTACTCAGTTCAAAGGTAGCTCTTTTTGTAATCTCCCATTTATGAAAGAAGTGCAAGCTTGGAACCCAGACCAGAGCAGCTACAGGACCTTGGTTCTGGTGCTCCTCTTGCATACTTCTGTGGTAGATTCTGCTGCATGGGAACCAATGCTGCTTACTTGATGTATATTCCAGTTACTTGGAACTGGCTCCTGCCACCTAGTCACTCAGGATACTCAGATGAGAAACAAATCTGGCTAAGATTAATTTGATGAGACTTCTGCAAGCTCAATGATGGTGCTGGCTGCTAGGTATATCTCAAAGACATCTGATTTCTGGGCAGAACAGATAGACCCTTAATCCCTGGTGCTTAACCAGGCAGAGGACTTGTCTAGTACATTAGGCAGAAACTGTGCCAGGGACCACAACCAAGATTATGGTGGAAAATCTGCTGTACCCATGTTGGAAGCAGTAGGCTTGGGGCAGAATGGACACTGCTACAGCCCAGAAATGTACAAATCACTTAGAATTGAATAATTTACATCCAAACTTTAAAAGGATGCCTTAATTACTTTTCCCTCATTGTGGAGACAACACGTCCAACACCTCAAATTAAGGCAAAAAAACTTTATTTAACTCACAGTTTGTAGAAATTTCAGTGTACAATCAGCTGGCTCCAAGGCAGCGTGGCATGGCACAGGAGCAGTACTTCAAGGCAGTAGAAGACAACAAAAGCAATAAGAACAAAAGTTGAGCCAGTCTCTTTTCCTGTTATATTATATGCCATCTCTCTACCCACAACTTGTCTATACTTTCCACCTCCACAGCTCAGGATATTACAAATTGAGATCACTGGCTCCCTCCTAACTCATTTAGTTAAGCTTCTGAATTTCTCATTTCTCAAGTTGACATGATGGATCAACCATTACAATGCACCCTTTGTCAACTTGGCAATGGACACATTTATTTAAATGAGTTTAGTTACAAAAGTCCTAACAGTTTCTGCATTGTTTAAAAGGGCAAGTCCTCTATTCTCTGAGATGTAAGGCAAACTTAGCTGCAAGCCCTTCTGCAAATGAAAACTTAAATACTTTCAACCTTCCACTACACAAGGTAAACGTTTTCATTCCAAAACAAGAAGACACCAAGGATTGGTATCACATTAAGTGTAAAAACAAGCAAGGAAAATAGTATTTCCTGCAGTTCCATTTCCAGAATGAAGCAATCTGTGGCACATTGTGAGCTCCAAAAGGCTTGGATGGCTCCACTTGTAGGGAACATCTGGTGGTTGTAGGTCCCACAGCTTCTCCCATAGGTCCACTTACTCGCTCTTTGCAGATTTCCTCACACAGTCCATATTCCTGGCTATTCCAAACTTCTGGGGTCTCCATTACACTTCTGGCCTCACCCTTACAGCTTCACATATTGCTTTCCCAGGGATGAATTTTATGGCCTGACAGGCCTTCTGGAATCAGAGAAGCTTTCTTACCCCATAACTATTGCATCCTGTATGTGACTAAAGTCAGCATTATGTGGATGATGCCAAGTTCTGCTGTTAGCTGAAGCAGGGGCCAAGCTTTCCTCTCTCGTGGCTGTAGGAGTCGAGTGTCTGTCTCCCTGGGCACTGAGTCCAATAGTGAGGAGCAAATTTGTTATGCTGTTGCCATTCTTTAACATGGTCCTCTGTGGCTTTCACAGTGAAGTCTTTTCACTTTTGCAGTTTTGAGGCATCTCTGGATGCCCTCAGGCCATCTTTTCTACTCTCACAAATCAAGATCTCCTCAGATTATCTTTCCAGTCACATGTTTCTGGAGCTTCCTTGCTGGCCACACTCACAAGGTGTAAGTCATCCTGCTGGGCTCTTTGCTTTTGAATTTTCAACATAGATCTGGCTAAATGCCCCTGACAATAGCTGTTCCAGCACTTGATATTTGACTACCTTGAAATTTCTTCTGTCACATTAGTCAGCTGGTCTTAATCTCATTTTTAGGCAAAGTCTCTGGAAAAAGGAAAATGCATAGAAACTTTCTTCCAGTCCATAACAAACAGCATATGAACAACAGTCGATGCAGTCCTTCCCAGAATACAGATGCTGAGTTTGATTGTTACTGGTTTTATGGTCTTCTGATCTCTGACAAGAATCTCTCACACAGAATAACAGAAGGTGTTCCAGCTCTCCTTTTTCAGGTGACATCCCAAAACCTTTCCAAATACTTCCTAGAAGCCATTCCCAAAAGCTCTTGGAAGACACGGTCAGCTGTAGTCACAGCAAACACTCCTCTCAGGATAACAGGACCAAATTCTGTCTTATTACTGAGACAAGCTACCCAACACCTGAAATTCAGGAAAGAAAATTTTATTTAGTTTACAGTTTGTGGCGATTTCAGTCCCAGGCAGGGTGGCATGTCATAGGGTCAACACTCCAAGCCAGCAGAAGACTGCAAGAGCAAGAAGAGCAAAATGGAGGGGGAGGCAAGCCTCTCTTTTCCCCCTTGCATTGTGTGCCAGCTGTGTGTCCATGGTGGGCCTGGCCATCCTCCTCTACAAGCTCAGGGTGTTTGCCAAGTGAGGACCCTGCTCAGTCACTTGGCTAAACTTCTCAACTTCTCAATTCTCAAGTTGATACAATATATCAACCATTATAAAGGGCAAAATTCAACAACTATTCCTTTTATATTTTTTTATCCATTATCCATCTCTTATTCTTTTTCTCTTCTTTCTATATAAAAAAGATAAAACACAATCCTCAAGGAAAAAGGAAAGTACTCATTTAAAAAAAAAAACTGTTTAGAGAAGAACTCTGTTCTTTTTTAAAAGGAAGTTTGACTTTCTTTTAGTTTTGCCTCTCTGATCCGAGGCTCATCTTTCCAGAAATACTTGTGTAACTACCAGCCTCAACATATAGAAATTACTCTCTACAGGACCTCTAGTGTCAGTTCTCAGTAAAGACAGCTCAGCTGGACAAGTAATTATCCATCTCAGTCCTCAATTCTCAGACTTCACATGTATTGTATAATTTGACTGAAATCTACCTGAGGTTAGTTGCATAAATGTATCCATATGCTAAGCATTTGTAGGAGGCACATGATTCTATCAACAAATCAATATTAAATGAATGAATATGGTGTAAAATGAGTGGATATGGTGTAAATGAGTACAATGATATGGTGACACTTTAACTCTCCTCACTTAAGAGGGATGGGAAGTTCACTCAGCAGATTAAGTGCTTGCCTGGCAAACACAAGGTCCTGAGTTCAAACTCTAGGACAAAAAAAAAAAAAAAAAAAAAACATAGCCCAGTGATGACAAAACTTTTAGAACTTTCAGTAATGTTTATAATGCTTTATATACTGAGAAGCAATTTTTTTTAATTTTCCTTCTATTCTATCTCAATTTTCAATCTCTTGTTATAATATGCAACAGTTTAATGTGGGTGAAATGGTCTTAAAATTACTAGTTAGTAAATATGTATTCAACCTAATGCTCAGGAATAATGAAAAGAGTAAAGGAGAACCACACATGTAATGTCATTGATTTGACTGTTCATTCAGTGTGTTTATGCACCAATGTTTGAAGTTGGAAGTCTAGATCTGTTTTGTCACTTCTCATAGTCTCTTTTACTTTCATAATGTCAGCATTTCTCCAAAATAAGTGTAATTATGGTGTTAATCCAGTGTTTAAAAAAGCTCTTTTCTCAAGGGCATATAACAACGGAATCACAGGGTATAGTGTAGCTCATGGAAAGAAACCATCTGTTCAGATGACTATTTATTTTATTGATTGTAAGAAGTTTGTATTTATTATGCTTGAAATGTTGGTTAATTTAAAATGGGATGAATTCCTAAATATAAAGTAACTAAATACTGGGTTGCTAAAAAATGAAATCTTGATTATATACAACACTGAGGGGTAAAAAAAAAAAAAACAAAAAAAAAAAACTATTGGTATCATGAACATGAACTCTTAGAGATGTTCAAGTATGATTTATGATAAATATAAGTTTCCTTATATAGTGAATTTCAAGCACAATGTTTAAGGGTAAAATTTGTTTTTAATCTATTTATTTTTTATGTTTTTACTTTCTATTTTAAAGAGAATAGAAAAATAAAATGTAAGACATTAGAAAGGATCCACAACTTAAAAAAAAGAAAGAAAATAGGATGATAGGTTTTCAACAATGGTTGTTATTTTGTATTAAAGGAGAGAAGGCTAGAACTTCCTCTGACAAGGATGTGGAAGCCCTCTGACCTGACGACAAGTGCACAGGTAAGGCATTGCCATCTACTTCGTGGCATTTGACCATTGTTTCTGATTTCTGCAGCTCTATGCAGGGGAACAGTTTAATACTTTAAATTCCTCAGAACTTTTCTAATGTCAGTTACTTGACAGTGCTAGAATATTTTATTATATTGTGCGTTTTGTGTATGTGAATTTGTCTAGATGGATCAAAGGGAAAACATTTGCAGTATCTCAAATTTATGAATCAAAATCTAAATAACTAAAATAGAAATATCTTAATTAAATGGCCCTATTTTTTAATGAAAATGGTTATTTTTCCCTATTCTTATGAAGCACACTGATTTACAAGGTATTTCATGTTTTGCTGACAAAAAGGAGGGAAAAGAATTCTGAATTCTCATGAAAATAGAATGATGCTACAATGAATGCTGATCTGTACAGGATATAATAGGACAATACTCCAACCTGTTTGTGATGGAAGAGAGGAAGCAATGGCTGGACTGGGCTCAGAAAGTGCCTTATCATCACTCTCAGGCACCCTGTAATACAATTACTTGGAGAGTGGTGTTTTTAGTGAGTTAAATGCATCTTGAGAATTCCTCAGAGTACTTACTGCATGCTTGATTCTCTGTAATGAAAAAATGATGTGGTTTAAAAGGAAGATAATGGACAATCAGACAGAGATGGAAATTGCTTGAAGGTTGTTGGAAGGAAGAAAGGTATCACTTTTCATTATTTGTATTATGACAAAGTTCTGTTTTTGTTTTGTCTTGGACATGCTCTTAATTTAATTTTAGTTTACTGTTAAACCTCACCCTTAAAGTTCGAAATTGACTTTGTCGTATTTCCAAAGAAAAATTATTATCCTGAATGTTGTCTTTCTAACACTTCAGTGCTGCTGCATTGTTCTCCTGTCATCAAAGTCCAAACTCATAACATCTATTTTCTTTGTCCCCTTTTTTCTCCAAATATACCAGCATACATTTGTTTTAAATTATCCAGTTACTCCATATCCTAAATTACTGCCTGATCTTGATATCATTAATTAGGATTATTTTCTGGAGCTTCTTCTATGTTATATACACTGCTTTTCTATTTTCTTTTCATTCATTACTTGCTTTTCGCTTGATGTACATAATTTCATACTCAATGTAATTTTGTATGACAAAAAACCACTAATGATTTTTGATTATTTTAGTAATAAATTTATTTTCAAGCTTCTTTTTCTAAATAAATTTAAGACCTTAAATTTTAATTTATATTATGTAAGAAGTGTCTTAAATTTACAGTAATTATAAAACAGCAGTGCATGTTTTTTAATTTTCACTGCTACACCATTAATAAACTTTTTACCAAGATCTTGGTATAGTATAGAATAGTATTGCCTGTCCAAGACAGAGTAAAGAAATGAATGCCTGCTATTATTACACATTTTCCAATTCTTTATATAATAATTTGATTCTTCATTTAATTGACATTTAATATTTTGAACATATTTCCTCATTAATTTTTTTTATATTTTAGTAAGGGTCGACAGGGTCTCACTATATAGATGGGACTTGTAGTGATCCTCCTGTGTTCAGCCTCCCAAGAGCTGGTATCACAGTTGTGTGCCAACATGCCCAGTCTGAATCAGTGCCTCAGCATGCCCTGGGGGCTGGGCTGGCATGGCACACTGTGGATCCAACCCCAGAAGCATTAATATTTTTTAAAAAATGAACTTAATATATTTATTCAATAAATATATATAAAATTTTATTAAGTGCCAGATACTTCAGCATTTTCCTGTAATCAGTGAGAAGGTAGGTAAATCTAAATTCTAAAAGAAGACAATGTTAAGTAAATACGAAATCAAAGTAATAACAGTAGACTTATTTCCGTAGAATTTAAGAGGGGAGTGTGAAGTAAACTAGGTAGAGTATTATGACTATTCTTCTTTATTAATAAATTCAGGAAACTGAGCTGTCAGACCTGAATGTTGAAATGGAACCAACACCTTGAAAATGTAAATAATATCTGTCTTAGTTTGTGTCCTATTACAAAGTTCATGGGAGAAATAAACTTAAAGGAGGAAAGAGTTATTTTGACTTACAGTTCTAGTGGTTTCAGTCCGCGGTCCTCAGCTCATTGCTTTCAGGCCTGCAGCAAGACGGCACACTGTAGTGGAGGCATGTGGCAGAGGAAAGCTTCTGAAGCAGCCAGCAAAGAGAAAGAGCTCACTTTTGTGAAAAGCCCCACTTTCAAAACCATAAAACTGCTAATGCATAGGTGCAGGAATCCACTCATGAGTTTGGAACCCTCAGGATGTGATCAAGCCTCAAAGACTTAATATGTAAGCACTATTTCATTGGAGATCAGACCTCCCACACAGAACTTTTGGGGGACAGTAGTGTAAATCTGGGGAACACTAACATAGTATAGTTAATTTGTTAAAGATAAGCCTGCCACAGAGAAGACCGTGATGTGAAGTAGATGACGTTTATAATGTTGGCTCAATTGGGTAGGGGTTATAAGCCTTAGGAAGAGTTTGGAGGTTTATAGTTGGGCTAAGTACAGGTATAAAAATATGAGATGGTTTGGGATAAAAATGATCCATGTAGATTCACTGTAGTTGGAAAGTGTGAAAAGAATCATTTTGCTTTCATCAATAGATCATATTATTTCACTGGCCTCTAATTTTGAACATGTGATACTTGAATAATACAAAATTCTAAGAAAGAATTTGTTGTTTAGAATTTGAAATAAGGATAAGGATGAAACAGTAGCAAAGTCATAATAGTGTCTCATCACATAAAGTGCAAATCAAACCTATTTGAAAAACTAAAGAATGCTCATATATGCTAAATGCTTCTGAAAGACAAGGTCTGGAACAAACTAAGAAATAAAAATGAAATTTTCTAATATTAAGGCAAGTGATCACTGTAACAAGAGCATCTTCACTAAATTGAGACAGAAGTGAAAGGTTGAAAAATATAACAGAACTATAATACTTTTATTTTTTTAAGTTTTGTTTTTCTTAATACGTGTTCCAGTAAATGACATGATCTTTATCATGCAGAATTGGTACATAGCACATGTTCATTCTTTTTATTTTCTTTCCTATGATGAACCTCTCCCCTCCCTCCAAAAATTGGTTTCTTTCTCACATACACTGATAGTGCACAACCTTTTCTGGATATATTAGTGGTATGAGGGATTCATGCAAAACTTAGAAAAGAAAGTTGTATAAAGGACTGTCTTTTGCTAGTTTATAAATAGACAAGGACTAAAATAGGTAAAATTTATTTATTTATTTTTTCCATGTTTAATTAATGCTCTATTAAATGTATTAATGCTCTTTTAAATTTTGTTTTATTTTTTATTTTTTAAGGAAGGGTCTACAAGGTGTTCAGGGTCTCACTACTAGATCAGACTCATAGTGATCCTCCTGTTTACAGCCTCCCAAGGGCTGGGGTTACAGGTACATGCCACCACCCCCAGTCCCAATTGCCATTTCAGTGCACCTCCGGGGCAGGGCTGGCATTGCAGGTCCCTGGGATCAAAGCCCCAGCCCCTGTGTCTGTTTGCAGGTGCTTTAATCCACTGAGATATTTGGCTGGCCTTCTTTTTTATATTTTATTTTAAAGAGTGAAAACAAAAACAAAAGTAGAATCAATTAACAAAAACTAAGAGTAACATACAATACATATGGTTCATATTTTAACACAAAAATAGGAAATTAACAATGATTGTTATATTATGTATTATCATGGTCATATCTGTTGTTCAGATTAACAGATACAGGCATCCCACAAATTCTACTAAGTTGTGCTTGGATTTTCATAAGATTGTAGATATCATTTAATTTCTTTTTCAATTTCACCTGCAGCCTGTTGGTTGCTGTGGAGGTTGTTATTTAATTTCTGTGTTTATGGGGTTTTGCACTTTTTTGTCATTAATTTTCAATTTCATTGCATAGTGGTCAGATAATATACATAGGATGATTTCTGGCTTTTCCATTTACTTAAGAATGATATATGGACTAGTATGTGTTGTACTTTAGAGAACATCCCATGTGAAGTTGCGGATAATGTGTAGTCAGATGTTGGAAGTAACACTGTAAATATCTACTATGTCCATTTGTTCAAAGGTTTGGTTCAGTTCTGCTACATCTTAGCTAATTTTTTGTCTGCTTAACCTATCTTTTTGAGATAAGGGGTCATTAAGTTCCCCTGTTAAGATTGTGTTATTGGTTATTAGATTTTTCATGTTCATTAAAATTTGTCATACGTTTGATGCTCCAATAGTTGGTTTATATACATTTATGACCGTTATTTCTTCCTCTTGAATTTTTCTGCTAATCAGTATGTAGTGACTTTCTGTATCTCATTTGATTATTCTTGGTTTGAATTTCAGATTGTCTGCAAGCAGGATAGCTACCCCTGTTCTTTTCTGAGGTCCTGGAGCATTTAATATTGTTTTCCATCATTTGACTTTCAGCCTATAAATTTCTTTTTGAGTCAAATGTGTTTCTTGTATACAACGTATTGTTGGATTTTGTTTTTTGATCCACTCTGCCAATATATTTCTTTTAATTGGTGAATTGAGTTCCTTTACATTGATGTTTATAACTGATATATATTGGCTTGTTTGACATTTTATTTTCCTGTTGTTGGTTTCCGATATTTCTGCTGTTTTCAGTTGCTTGCCCTGTTTGGTGAGTCTTTCAGTAGTCACTCTTTGAGTTGTGATAATCTTGATTTTGTCCTAGAATGTCTTTTTCATACTCTTTATAGGGCTGTTTTGGTCATCATGAATTTCTTTAGTTGTTCTTTGTCATGGAAGCATTTTACTTCTATATTAAAATTTGAAAGAGTGTTTTCAGAGTATATCAGTCTGGATTTGAGTTTGTTTTCTTGTAGGATTTGAAATATTTTGCTCCATGGTCTTCTTGACTTGATGGTTTGTGATGAGAAATCTGCTGTTATTCTGATGGATTTTCCTTTAAATGTGATCTGTTCCTTGTCTCTAGTGGCTTTTAGTATGTCATTCTTCTACTAAATTTCTGAGATCTTGGTTATTATATATCTGG